ATACTGCCCTCCCCTAACTTAGAACTTAATTTAGCGGCTCTTTCTAAAAGACGTGAGTGCAAATAAAAGACATCTCCTGGGTAAGCTTCGCGACCAGGTGGTCTACGTAATAGAAGAGACATTTGGCGATAAGCTTGGGCTTGTTTGGAGAGATCATCATAAATGATTAAAGTGTGTTTTTCACGATACATAAAATATTCAGCTATAGCTGCTCCTGTATAAGGAGCGAGGTATTGAAGTGTAGCAGGGGGAATCCGCCATTTCGGCTACCACAATAGTATATTCCATGGCTCCCTTTTCTTGTAAGGTAGTTACTACCTGAGCCACAGAAGATGCTTTTTGACCAATAGCTACATAAACACATATTACATTTTGACCCTGTTGATTTAGAATCGTATCCGTAGCTACTGCTGTTTTACCAGTTTGTCTGTCTCCAATAATTAATTCTCGCTGACCACGGCCTATAGGGATCATTGAATCGATAGCAATGAGTCCAGTTTGAAGAGGCTCATATATGGAACGACGCGAAATAATCCCTGGAGCGGGGGATTCAATTAATCTAAATCCAGAAGATGAAATTTCGCCCCCTCCCATCAATAGGATTTGACAGGGCATTTTATAACACGACCCAAATAGGCTTCACCCACTGGTATCTGAGCAATTCTTCCTGTTGATTTTACAGAACTTCCTTCTTGTATCATCAATCCGTCACCCATTAATACAACACCAACATTGGTGGATTCCAAATTGAGAGCAATGCCAATTGTACCCTCTTCAAATTCTACTAATTCCCCTGCCATTACTTCACCAAGACCATGAATACGAATAATGCCATCGCCTACTTGAAGGACGGTACCAGTATTGACAATCTTTATCTCTCTATTATATTTTTCAATACGCTCACGAATAATATTCCTAATTTCATCGGCTTGGATCGTTCCCATGATTCGTTCTTAAATTATTCTTATAAAAAAAAATAATACCTCCGCTAGAAAATTAAAGACTAATCTTTTATTTCTTGAAGTGTGCTCAACATGCGGATATTGGTACTAATAGTACGTAAATGCCAACTCGGTGTTCAAACAACAAGTCAGAGTTTCTAGAGCTCTTTGTAAGGCTTGTTGGAAAACCTGTTGTTTTACTTGATGAATAGCTCTTTCCTGTTCAAATAGAATAGTTTCATTTTTATCATTTTCAAATTGTTCTAAAATATTAGAAGTTGAATTAAGCAAATTCAAATTTTCTCGTTTTATTTCAGAGTATCCATTCAGTCGAAACTCCTCGGCTTGCCTTTCTACTTTAGATAAATGAGCTTGGGCTTTTTCTAGTTTTTCAATAGACCTCCCACGCAGTTCTTCTGAATTCTGAATAGTATTTAAGATCCTATTTTTTCGGTTATCTAATAAATCACTTAATGAAAGTAGATTTTTTTTGCTTTGATTTCAAAACAGAAAAACCCCTTCCCGAACCAAACATGAATCTTTCAATTCATTTGGCTCTCAAGCTCAATTCCTTCAAATCAAACTTCATAAGAATTATGATATGTTTTTTTGGTTCTTTATTACTCCATTGAGCTTATCCTCTCTTCCTTCTTCTTTATCTTTGTTAATATTCAAACAGATGAGGACTCTTCTAACAAAACAACCCAAAAAATCGGTAATTGTCAGCAAAGTTATTTTTTTTTTCAAAAGATTTTATTACTTATTTATAAACACAGGCCGTCAATTTAGCATTGGATTTGGATAAACAGGGGAAATTTCCCTTCTTTGTGAAAAATTAAAAAATAAAGATTAAGGGGTTCCTTTAGTTTAATCAATATGAGCATCCTCTATTGATCAAATATTATTTTTGAAAATATCTCTATAATGAACATAGTGATAGAAAGAGTACCATATAGTGCCTTGACTTCAAATGATTTTTTTTAACCATGTTCATAGTATCATAGTCTTGGGTGAGAGAGAATCAAAGTTGATTTACCAGTAAATGACGAAATGCTATGGTTCTTACAGAGAATTTATTTATTCAGAAGTAATTCGCGAGATAATGCACCTCTTTCTCCGAGTTTTCATAAAAATAAAGAGTAAGAGTACAGCTGGTTAGTCCAGCCTATTCCTGAAATAAACAACTCGCACACACTCCCTTTCCAAAAAAGACCAATACTCCAAGAACTACACTTAGATTTATTAGATTTGTTGCTAAAATATCGGTATTCCACCCGAAACTCCCAACAGATGACCAGTGGCCCAAAGAAAGGAAAGAATCGGTTACGCTTTTCATAAATTCTCCTCTTTTATAGTATAGACTAAAATAAAACAACACTCTTTACTTCACTTTGTTTTTTATTTCTATTTTATTCAATTTATGAAATAAATAATAAATAAATCTTTAGAACTTCTTAATTAAATATTAAATAAGATTAAATACACATTCTATTTTAGTGTATTTTTGCGGATCTACTAAGCCTCACTAAAAAAAGTAACCTTAAACTACGAGTAAACTACGAGTGAAAAGGATGAAAGCAATTAAAATAGAATAAGTATTATTATTTCGTGTGTATCATAAGGTTTTTTTCTCAACCAATAAAGTAATACCAAGAGGCATTTTTAATAGAATTTGAAAAAAAAAAAAGCTCAAGAGTCTCTTTATTAGTCTTACCATTCTAAATTAAACAAAAGGATTCGCAAATAAAAGTGCTAATGCAACAACCAATCCATAAATTGTTAAAGCTTCCATAAAAGCTAGACTAAAGCAATAGAGTGCCCCGGATTTTTCCCTCCGCCTCAGGCTGTCTCGCGATCCCCTCTACAGCTTGACCCGCGGCGGTCCCTTGACCAATTCCGGGTCCAATAGAAGCAAGTCCTACGGCCAAGCCAGCAGCAATAACGGAAGCGGCAGAAATAAGTGGATTCATTAGTAATTCCTCGTAACAAAACGTAACAAAAAAAGAAATCGTTAATGATATAATGAATCAATTAGGCCCTCATTAGCCATTAGTTCATTTTATCCCATTTTCAAAGTAATTAATATTAATGATGATCCCCTATGGATTCACCTATATACGCCGCGGCTAGGGTTGCAAAAATAAGAGCTTGAATACCACTTGTAAATAATCCAAGAAGCATGACGGGTATCGGAATTGCTGAAGGGACTAAAGAAACAAGAACAACAACTACTAATTCATCAGCTAAAATATTACCGAAAAGCCTAAAACTAAGTGATAAAGGCTTTTGTAAAATCTTCTAAGATGTTAATCGGTAAAAGGATCGGAGTCGGTTTTATATATTTAGCGAAATAACCTAATCCTTTTTTTGAAATACCCGCATAGAAGTATGCCGCTGACGTAATTAAAGCCAAAGCCACAGTAGTATTTATATCATTCGTGGGTGCGGCTAACTCCCCATGAGGTAATCTAAGTAGTTTCCAAGGTAAAAGAGCCCGGACCAATTAGAAACAAAAATAAATAAAAACATCGTACCAATAAAAGGAACCCAAGGGCCATACTCTTCTCCAATTTGAGTTTTACTCACATCTCGAATGAATTCAAGAACATATTCAAATAAATTCTGACCCCCATTAGGAATGATTTGTGGGTTGCGAACAGCTAGAGTAGCAGAACCAACTAAGATACCAATTACAACCCAAGAAGTGATAAGTACTTGGCCGTGTACTTGGAAATTCCCTATTTGCCAATATAAATGTTGACCCACTTCTACACCAGATATCTCGTATAACCCCATGGGGTAATTGCTAGAAAAAAAAAAAAGATTCATATTACCCCCCTTAATTATTTTAATGCCAAAATCTATTTGTCTAATTGAATTGGATCTTGTCCTTTTTAATAGAATAATAGAAACAAATCAAAAAATCTAACTTATGAAAGGAATCTATGTTATTTTTGAAGTAAGTTTTTTATTAGTTATTTTTTAATTTCTTTATCAAGAATTTTTTATATAGCTAAAACGGCCCTCACAAATTGCAAATATTAATTTGTTAAGAATCAATCGAATTGAAGAGATAGCGTCATCATTTGCTGGAATTGAAATGTCTGATAGATTGGGGTCGCAATTAGTATCGATTAAACAAATTGTTGGAATTCCTAAAGTTATACATTCTCGCAAGGCTATATATTCTTTGTGCTGATCAATAATGATTACAATATCGGGTAAGCCTGTCATATATTGAATTCCACCCAGATATTTTTGGAAACGAGCTAATTGTCTTTTGAGCACAGTTGCATCTCTTTTTGGAAGATGATGGAACCCCCCTTTTTTTTGTTCCATTCTCAAGTCCCTAAACTTCTGAAGTCTTGTTTCTGTGGTGGACCAATTCGTTAACATACCGGCAAGCCATTTTTTATTAACATAATGACATCGGGCCTTTATGGAAGCTCGGGGCTACTAAATTAGCTGCTTTATTGTTAGTACCCCACAATTAAAAAATTTTTTCCTCTATTTGCTGCATCAAAAACCAAATCACAAGCTTCCGATAAAAAACGAGCAGTTACGATCAGATTTATAATATGAATATCTTTACGCTTTGTAAAAATAAAAGGTGCCATTTTAGGATTCCATTTCCTAGTACCATGACCCAAATGAACTCCAGCCTGCATCATTTCTTCTAAATTGATGTTCCAATATCTTTTTGTCATTTAAATAGATCCCCCCCATTTTAGATTCTGTTGAAGAAAAAAATTAACGAGGAATTTTGAATTGAATTAAAAAACTTGTTCCAACGGAACCTTATCCTCTATAGTCATCTATACTAAATTATACTAAAATACTAAAATTGCCGATATATATAGAATATATACGCCCCAATAATTCTTATTTTCTATTTTTCTATTGCTAAATAAACCGGCGAGATTGAAAAAGCGTACAAGATATTAATTTGCTATTAGGAATCTTTCTAAATCCTATCAATTATGTGATATCTTGCGGAGTTTTTTTGAAAGGAACTATTTAAAAAGTTTTTTGTGGGGAGACAAAATATCTCGAACCCCCCGCCTTAAATAGATTGTTTTTTTGTTTTTGGAAATAACTGTTATTATATTGTTTTGAGGGGTGGACTAATGCTCTGAATCCAGTCCCGGCCGGTATAACCCCACCCAAAACAAACATTCTCTTTCAAGCCTTTCAACCAATCGATCCGCCCCCCGAGAGCTGCTTTTGCTAAAACCCGAGCAGTTTCTTGAAAACTCGCTTCCGATATGAAACTTTGAGTATGGAGAGATACTTTTGTTATTCCCAATAATATGGCTCGATAATAAATAGGTTCTTCTAAAGCACGCCCCATCCGTTCTGCCCGCAACAATTCAATAAGTTCTCCAGGCGAAAAAAACATTAGACATTCCATCTTCTGAAACTAAAACTTTTGATGTTATTTGACGTACAATAATTTCAATATGCCGATTATGAATCTGGACCCCCTGGGATCGATAAACTTTTTGGATCTTATGAATCAAAGAGATACGACTTTGCACTATAGTTAACTCAGCACTAATAAAAAACCCCCAATGAATTCCAAGAATTCCGGTTATAAATTTGTCCCCAACCCACAAACCTTCTTTGTAGATTCATTGATATGGAATCAACCGAACGCACTTCTAATACCTGTTCTACTTTTGGAAGGCCTTGTGTTATATCACCGGATCTCGATTTTTCATAGTTAAAAGCAACTACTGTATCGCCGGCAAAAAGGGGTTTTCCATAAAGGCCATGAACAATTGCTCCTGGGGGAGCTAAATAAGGCTTAGCAGATCGTATTACTACAGAGTCAAGTTTGACAAGAATAACTTGACCCGAGTTTAGAACGGGTATTTCTTTTTCTATATATACATTTTTACAAATAATCTGTCCGAGACTTAGTCTTTTAGATGTCGCTGTCCAATGATTTTGGTAAAGAAAAGACACATTCAAACTAAATGCATTCAAAATAATGTTACTGCATGGATTAGAATTGTAAAATTTCCTGTTTTCCCCCAAGGAAATAATATTTAAAATTGAAT